TCTTAAAGATGAATACAAGAATGCCTCTCCAGCCCATCCATGCCCTTATTTATATTGAAAAATTATTGTTTTGGACAATTTTTGTCCATACAATTAACTTATGACCAAAAGGTCCTAAGTTAAGTATAACTTGAAACTAATTTCCTTAACTTTAATTAAAATATCTAAAAAGTCCCTAGTATTCCTAGAAACTAAAAAACCTATAATTCCTAGAAACTACAAAACCCTAAAATTAAACTCTAAAACTAAAATCAAAATATACATCCTTTAAAATTGAATAAAAATTAAACATAAATATAATTTTTCCCTCCATCACATGTGTAATAGGAAATGGCACGTAAAAATTTTTACAGGGTATTTAAGAGCAAACGGCTTGGGATATACACTTCATTAAGGAATTGTAGAGATCAAGCGAGCGGATAATGTAGAGCATCATTTAAAGGTTTTTGCACTAGAGATCAAGACGAAGAATACTTCTATACTTATAAAAAAGAACATGGATCACAACCAAAGCAACTAATAAATGCCGACCATTGTATCATGTACAAGGTGTTTACCCTTTGTAATTATACTATGGTCTTCTCATCATGTGTTAAGAATTAAAGTATTTCAACTAGTACCAAGGGGAACTTTGTATCTATGTAATGCATTATCAAGGTTTTGGGGGTGGATCTGGTCTTGGAGTGATGAAAGCTTCGTAAGGCTATTTATTGGAAGGGGTAAACTATGAACTTGTTCTAATTCAATAAACGTGATGGCCAATTGACAGGTTATGGCTTTAGCCCCTAATTGTTTGAGTATTTTGAAACGTGAAGGTTATGGTTGAATGTTCTTGAACTAATTTGGAATAGCTCGTACTGTGTATGTAATGGAGAATTGGAAGAGGGTTATGATGGTGTACTCTTCTTGAGATCGGTAGCTTATTATGGATGAATATCGGAACTTATTTGATAATCAGCAATTTCAGTTGAAATTTGATTAACCTGAAATGTCAAGGAAGATGCATATCACTTGTCGTATTTTATTTTTCATGACAGAGGGTGAGTAGATTGACAGGTCGTCATAATCAAAGTTTCCAAAATAGAAAGGTAACAGAGAGAGAGAGAGAGACCGCAAATTAGTTAACCATATATCAATGTTCACAGAAGAGTATTGTTTTATGGATGGGCTATGGGACAAAAGAAACAAAGGGAAAAATTTACCAATAAAATATGAAGATATTCATATTCATTTTCATGCAAAAATATATGCAATCTGTCTTCTTTTTTAGTGATCTGAAGTGCATATGTTAGACACACTAAGGATCATATGAATTCAAAATGTCCTTCATAAAAAATTATCAACCTCGCATCAGTGAAAAATTTAAGGAACGGTTATGACTGGCTTATTTCCCAATCTCCAAACCTCCAGAATTCAAGGTTCAATCAAACATAGGTTCCCAACCTTCCTTCAATTCCAGACTTCCTTAAATTCCAAACAAGTTATTAAACAGTATTTGTCAGTTCCAGAACTCATTGTAGCTTCCATGGAGAAAGAGCTTCCACATCCCAGGGAGGTTCCAGCTTCCAGTTATCAAGCAGGCTCTAAATTAAATGTTGCTTTAACATTTGGAAAATTGTTTCATGCGGGCTAGACCCCATTTCTACATATGCGGTCCAGAAAGTGTAAAGCATCCATCTTAAAGATGGATGCAAGTAGGTGTTACATCTAAAAACAATGGAAACTAACGGTCCAAATGTTTTCTTACTAGAATTATCATTTCTAGTTTTTAAAATTTATTTATTTTTACAAATTCATGATCTCCATGTTAGAGATTACATGTCCTTAAAAATTAAATCTTAAAATCCATCTCATAGTTGTTGGGTATGGGAACAGTTCCAAGATCGAGGGTGGGATTGGCGGATCGAAGCTATACTGAAGATTCTTGTGTTAGGGATCAATGCCCGTACAAACTCAAAGGTCAGGATTGAGGTCCATGTGTGTTGGGGATCGAGCTCCTTTATTACATAGGATCAAAAATTATTATATAAAGGTGCGAGACCCTGTATGTAAGAAACGAAATTCCCAATGGATTTTTTTCAGTTTCTTAACTCAAGGAGCGCATTACTAAAAGTGATCCAAAATATTATGGAGCGAGGAATAACTTTTATAGGAGCGAGCTCCATTTTCTTAGAACACGAGTACCACGTGTAGGTAATAAGGGTCCGTGGCTTTAAAATGTAGCTCCCGGCGTTGTTAACCAATAACATGTAGGCTTAGTCCTTCTATGAAATAAATACAGAACTTTAAAGTGATCCCATATTGTAGGATCTGGATGCCATATATGGCGATGCTTGTGTTCCGTTATTTTGGAATCTAGATCCCAATGTACTCTAGAGCGCGAACCACAAGACTAGGGAACTAAATCCTGCAATGTTCAGAAACGCGAAATTAAATTGTAAGGAACTTGCTACCTTATAAGATGGCGGGAGATCCCAAAACACTAAATTGAGTTTCAGACGAGATCCACTCCAAGATCGAGAGAATTGAGGTTTTGCAAGGGATCGCCACGCAATGGAGGAGATCCCGGTAACTATTATCCATCTCAAAAATAGATTTATAAAGTAGCCTGCATTTCTACATATGCGGGGTTAGCCGCATAGAAACCGGGCCCTTAACATTTTTGTTATTCTCAGTTCTTGAATAATTTTCTACTCTATGAGCGAAACAATGCCCAAAATCTGTATACAATAAATCTATCAATACTTAATCGCAAAAGCTTAGCATAGTGGTGGACGTTACTGTTTTAACTCAAGAGGCCAAGGAATCAATTCTTGGTAGAGCCATTTTTGGTTGCCATGATCGGAGACCAGTGTATGAAATATAGACACCTGTGAGGAGTGTTGAATGACGATACATCCCAAATGAGTTTTCTAGAATGACTATTCCTCACAATCGCTCCTTGTGATGCTGCGGATCCATGGCAATTAGGATCTCAAGACGCAGCAACACCTATGATGCAAGGAATAATTGACTTACAACTTACTTCACATTTGGAACTGCACAAAAAGAAACTTTTTATCCCAAAGAGGTATGCGTAAAATTCTGGGGAAACGTCAACGAATGCTGGCTTATTTATCAAAGAAAAATAAAGTACGTTATAAGAAATTAATCGAAATACACCTCTCCCAACACATTTTGATGAAGTGTAGGTCCCACGTCAGGGAGTGACACAAAGCCAAATGCATGGTGATAAGGTAAATTGGCTAAGGGGTCAAAGAAACACATCAGAAATGCCAAACCCCTAAACAAGCCTTTCAGGTGTGAGACATTTATAATTCCATACATCATTTACAAGGAGGTAATACTAAGTGAAATTAAGTACTACTATTGGGACCCTAAAAAAGAAGTTGTTAAAGTATCAGATATGTAGATCATGTCCGTAGTGTGTCAAATGTGCTAAGAACCAACACACGTCTAAGTTACATTGCTTTCTAGTCTAAGAGGGAAGCAAATGAGTTAGGGATTGCAATCCAAATTCTCGAACAAGTAAGTTGGATCTGGGTGTAGAACTTTGGACCCCATAATCAGGTTGAGTCGGGTGCAGGTCCATCCCAGACCTTACCGGATCGGATCCAAGTCAAGGCCGAGCCAACCCAAAATATTCTATGTAAGTTTATAAAATATATAAATATATTTTTAAATTTTTATAATTTATCCAAACCCGAGCCTACCCCAATGCGATCAACCTGGACCAGACAGAGTCCGAGTCTAGCCATTCACCTTGTCGGGTTGGCATTGGTGTCAGCATCCGCATCCGCGTCCACGTCGGACTAGACACGAGCCCACCCGACCAGTTTACACCCCTAAGAGAATCTATACGTCATCAAGGAGAGCCCCTGTCACAGCTATGGTCAAATCATTGATCCCTATGGACTCCAAAAGACCATATATGCCCTAATCAATCCCTAAGCAAACCACCTATATTAACTGGTCCGGCACACTTGAGTTTTTTTTAGAATACCTTTCACCACATGAGAGAGAGAGAGAGGGGGGCCTGGCGTCCAAGCACGGAGAGTGTAAGAATCGAACCGGTGACACCTCCAAGCATGGAACACATGCCACCATGACAGCTACTTAAGCCGTCTTGAGTTTAAAAACACCATTCCTGGATATCTATGACAATGTACTCAATTGGTATTCCTTCCACTCTTATCATTATCAAAACCTGTACTCCTTCCACTCCACATCCAAGTGAATCCTATTCCAATCCTCAGATGCCTGGAAGGCATTCCCTTGTCCTGCCCACCAGCCCTTCATCATCTCGATCATGGCAGTGTTATGAAGAAAGAAAGTACCATCACCCGATCACCATCATTCTCATTTATAGCAAAAAGATGAAAGCATATGGATCGGATCGGAGTTATATTTACAAGTTTCATTAATAAAAAGTTATTTGATGTTCAATCACATAGTATCACTAATCCAATAGTTCATATGCTTCAAATTCACCCATAGCAAATGAGAACTTCTCCATAACAAGAGAACCTTCAATGGAATAGTGAGTGAAAGCTCTTTCTTGTTCTCAGAATTTACAAAAAGAAATTGAAAATCCATACCCATCTAAAACAACACAAAACTTAGAATGAAGTCATTTTTTCAAGCAAAAAGATTTGGTCATTATGAGACATGAAAAAAGTAGAATATCTATTCCTGCATTACTATTTTGCATTATCAAGAACATGGAGAACTCATTTTGCCACCCAACACAGATTTATAAATTTAATGCCAAGATGATAGACCCCAGAGAAAAACCATTCACTAGCAACAACCAATAAACAATCAATACTTGGTTCATGGACTTGGGGCTCTCAATTCACACACACAGTTGCTCGTTTCAATCCTATGCTACTGATAAAATGAATAAAAAGCTAACAAAGGGAAAATTTTCACTTCTTGTTCTTTGAGGGCAGTGAAAAGAAGAAGAAGAAAGTAAACTGAACATGAAATCTAAGCACTACCTGGTTTATGAGGCCTCCAAATTTGTTTTTCAAGCTCATCATCTTCGCAAGTCCTTTCTCCAAGGTAGATGGAAATTGCAACAAACGCAGTGTATGCCCCGTAGGCGCAGTATCAAACACTATAACTGAATAATCCATTGTTTGTACTAATCTGTAGAAGAAAGGATGGTAGTCTCAATAAGAACCAGAATAATGGAGATAGCAGATAACATAAAAACCAATAATAGAGAAACATAAGAAAAATGTAACAAGCACACAATAAGATCTTTTTCATTTTTATTGATAAGCACAAGTGTTTTTAAGCTCGGACGTAGCTGTGGAACTGGGTAGGACTGTGGTCAGAGAGTCAGACTGGGACAAATCTCTAGACAAAATAACAAAAAAACCTTGGAAACCAGTGAGACTTGACCGGTTCCCAAGGCTTTTTCACTCAGACTCAGCACCCTGCCAGGTCCGAGTGACTCACTTGGGCCTGAGTGGATCGCGGCAAGTTTTGCGCCACTGATAAGCATCTATCAAAGCCAACATCAAACCAGCAGACCAACCCCAGATTTTCAGAATAATATGACAATATCATCTCTAATAATCAATCACTGCTCATATGTTCCAATAAGGATCCTTTTTCCCTATTAATAAAAATTTATTCAAAAGTTATTGTGTTCTCAAACAAATTGACTCACAAAGAAGAAAAAATAAAATCATTAGTGCATAGAACTGTATACTCATAAGTCAAAATAAATAAGATATTCTATATAGGACACGGTTTTAATGAATCCTAGGACTCATATATAGATATGCATCCCTTCTTCATAATCCATTTTTGAGATAGATTTTGGACCTAATTTTTTAGGTATACATAATATCTAACATGGAGAACACGAATGTGTAAAAAAAGTAAATTTTAAAAAGTAAAATTGATAATTTTGTGAAAAACATTTCAAACCATTGATTTTTCCTTTTTATGGAAATACTACAACCCCACATCCATCTTGATGCCTCGAGGGATGCAAATGCAGTCATATGTCCTGCACCCCTGATGCATAAACTACTTTATCTTCTATATGTAATACATCCATTTCATAAACTAAAACAAGGAACATAGGAAAAGTCTATTTGAATATTCCAAATGAAGAACTACACAGATTTCAGGTTATGAGAACTTCTGCATGTTATGAACTTCGCCATGACCAATATTTTATTGGAAGCAGCAAGAGATGCAATATTTTATCAAGTTTAACTTTAATTGAGATACACAGGGATTTACAGTTGTGTGGCACGTGGAACTCGATGTTACATGTAATATCATGATCATCATAGCCTTTTCCCAATTAATTGGGATCGGCTACACGAATCCTTGTCCACGATTCTGCTCTATTTAAGACCATACCCTCAGTGAGGCCATTAGGCCCTATATCTTTTTGGACTCCAACCACGTCCTTTTGGGCCCCTACCCCCCTACCCCTTTCCCTTTTCAAGTCTTCCACTTGAACTAACTCGCACCTCCTAACATGTGTTGTACTAGGTCGACACCACATATGGCCAGTCCACCTAAGTCTACTCTTTCTCATTTTATCGCCTATTGGTGCCACACCTAAACTTTCCCAAATGGATTCATTTCGGATTCTATCCGTTATTGCCTTGCTACATCTTCATCTCCGCTACACTCATTTTGTGGTATAGTGTTTTTTGTCCGCCCAACATTCTGCCCCATAAAGCAAAGCTGGTCTCACATCTCCACTTCGCCCACCCAGCTCTATCTCTATGTGCGACATGTAATATGCAACTCATAAATGATCAAAACATGTGCTATTTTCACATAGCTCTTGTTTGATTCATTTTGTTGAAGTTTTAGAAATACAAATTGAGACCAGCATTATGACAATGCCAAGGTCACATCTCAATGACAGGTCTAGTCCCTAGTAATAAGTGTTACATCTCGATTTATACTACTCTTTGACAATGTATTTGCATCTCCATTAGGCATCTCAGAAAACATGACAAAACAACATACCTCTCTCTCCCTAACTGGACCAGAAATTTCCTTAAAAATCATAGATAATTAACAAAAGGGAGGGCTCCACCCACACCTATATGATGGCATTGAGGCAATTACCTTGAAAATTAATGGAACCTCCCTTCTATATTCACAAAGCTTAGACAAGGGCCCTAGCTTAAGCATTAGAAGAGTAACATATACCCAGTTGCCGAGCATAGAACGGCAAGGTGTACCCCTTGTCATCTCTGTGAATATCTCCAATAACCCCCCCGGACTAGGATTACCCCAGGAACTCCCATCAAAGTTCACCATTATCCATCTTGTCTTCAGTGTCAACCAATGTTTTATGTTCTGTATGATACTGGAACCACCAGTCTCCATTCTCTCAGAATATCTAGAAAGCTCATGCCTCTAAATTCTGGCCTTGATATATTCACAAAAATGATTCGGCCCCATATTCTTTCCATATGAATCCTGCCATCTATCCTTAATTCTTGGAAGATCCTCCTATTTCTCTCATTCCAAAGCCCCAGCAAGATTCCGAGTACATCGATCCTTCATAGAATATGTCTCTCTCATTGATAGACCAAGAGCCACACCGAATCCAAAGTGAAGCAATTGATCATGGCCTAATCCATAAGAAACCAAATAAATGGAGGAAGAAGGCCAAAACCTTACCAACAACCTGACAAAAGCCAGAAGATGATATGCCTATTTCAGCTTCAATGCAGCACATGATGCACATATTGGTTATTGAAAAACCTCTCCTCTGATGATGATCAACAGTAAGGATCACACCTCTGCAGGAAAGCCATCCAAACCCATGGTATTAAGACCAGAAAAGACCAGCCAGTTCAGACTGGAAACTAGCTAACCAGGTCGGTTCAGCAGTCCCAAACCAGCTGGGCATTGCACAGTATGAACCAATCAAACCGATTTGAACAGGTCTAAACCGCTAGCTTAGACCGGTTCAACTGGTGTGCACCAGCCGGATCAAACCTCTTTTGACCAACTTTTATTTTTTATATTTTGCATATATTTTTGTTCCTAACAATTTCATGAATTTTTCTTATTTTTCTATATATTCAGGTTATTTTTCCTATTTTCTCTATTTTTCATTTATTTGTATTTTCCTAATTTTAAACTGGTCTATCCAATGAACTGGTGCCCCATTAGTTCAACTTCCATTCCCGACTTAATAACATTGATCCAAACACCATGACTCCAAGGGGCACAGGAATGCTCAAAGCCAATCTACATGGATCCACCATAGACAAGGCCTATTAAGGCCCTTGAAGTGGCTTAAAAAATAAAAAAGTTAGAAGAGAAAAATGCTCCAACAGGCTCAAACCGATTCTCAAGAGCTCATGTAGAGAAAAGACATGCTGGACCAAAAATACCAGGTGAAGTATCGTGTTTTCAATAGGAGAGTTAAATATCTCAAGCAAATCTAATTTTATTAGTTTTTGTCAAAAAAAATCTATTTTTATTAGTTGCCAAACAATTAAAGTGTGTCATTATATTGGTTTATATGTTTGTCGTTCAGCAAATTGGGTGCTGGTTGAAGTGAACATTACAGAGTATCTTAAAATGTACTCCAAGACGAAGTACAGAAATGTGAGATCCCTATTTTTTTTTTTCTTTTTTCTTCTTTTAAGGAAGATAATGTAAGATCCACAATTATCGAAATGAAAATAAATGTAATATTTTCATAATGCCGTAACATTCTCAAGTCCTCTGTACAACACGCAATGTTCAAACAAATGGATTTAGGCGCCTACGAGGTTTGGATGCCTGGCCGCCTAGGCATTCAGGCGGCTGCCCCAGGGACAGGGTGCCCTCACCAAAATCAAACCCCCACCCCAAACATGAGACACTAACTATTACTTTACAATAAGGCTTAAATGAATAACTGAATATATAAGACATTTTAAGACTTTAGTTTCACTTTCACATAAGACTTAACCCATTAAGATATCACATAATCAATTATTTATCAAATAAACTCAAACAAAAAAAATAGAATATCAAAATAAGACACATTGTACAAAAAAGGAATCAATTATTCATAAAAGAATACGATATATGCTCAATTTCATTGTCCAAATGAGAAAAAAATCAATAAATCACCAAAAAAATCAATTTTTTAACTACAAACATGTAAATATACCGTAAAAGAAAAAAAAATGTATAAGAAAAAATGCATGATTCATAACATAATATGTTGTAGCAAAATAAAATCAAAACACTCTTTCAAATATGATAATTCTTTAAATTGGTGCAAACCTCGTCTATTGAAGCCCCAAATCCACCCACGAACTATTGCCTTCGTTTTGGGAAGAAATTGAAAAAATAAAAAATTTATCGATCTTTCAATAAATCCCAAAAGAGTGGTTTTTGAGAGGTTTTTCTCACCTTAAAGGCCACAAATTTTCTATTAGGGGTTTAGAATATCCCCTAAAACCCTTTTTCCCCCCTTTTTAGGGGGGGGGATTACATGTCTTACCCTCACCCAAGGGTTTTTTTCCGCTGGTCGAAAGTGGTCACGGGGCGGCGCCTAGGCAAGCGCCCAGAGGCAAAAACGCATAATGCCCCCGCAAAGACTGCACCTAGGCGTTTTTTAAAAAATTTCGCCTAGGCGGTCAGGCGGCCGAATTTTTTAACATTGACAACACGGAATGCATTTAAAATGTAATGTTCTTATGATGACTCCAACCTAGTGCCAAAATTAGAATAGAATCAACTTCAGTAACAAATTTTCAACAAAAAAACCTAAGGAACACTCGGTTATGAAGTTAGGCATGTAACTGAATCCAAGATAGGAAGGCCTACATGGTCTTACAAAGGAAAATAAGTACAAGAAGACTGCAGGGAAAACACAATGCCAATACCATTGTTACTCAAAATTCAACATGTGAAATCTAACTTGTTCTCTACCATGCAAACCCCTAACTTTGAACACCTCCATAATTTCCATAGAACTGATTCTAGCAATATTCATATTCAAAGCATGTGAGTAAATCAAGAAAGATAAATACTTACTTAAGCATCTCAGCAAAGCTCATAGCCTCATCAATGCCGGGAATCGCATTTGTTAACTCAGAAATAAAGCTGTCCATTCCTTCTACATTGGGCAACTCATCTTTCTCCACATTGGGATCCACTTCCTATGCATTCAAACCCCAGTAATAAGCAATCTTTTCTAATATCAAAGACATCTTGAACCCAAAAAAACAACTAAAGATACATTTTGCACAATCACGACCATTCAGATTTCAGCTAGAAAGGAAAAAAGACATAGTTGAAAGGGAGCATCAAACACCAATTGTGTTGGTGTTTTCTACACCATGGCGCAATCCACCGTCCACTCCCAGTGAGTGACAATGGAGATTAACCGTATTCAGGTGAGTGTTCATCATGGGCATCTATGGTTAATCTCCACCACCATCAACAGTAACAGATGGCAAATGCGCCCATGATGTACCTTTAATACCCTACTCCAATGCTGTAGGATATACTTCTCGAGTCAAAAACTGCTAAAGGAAAAGAATAGTCAGCCCGACCAAACCCCTGAATCCCCAATGATACCAATCACACAATCAATCAGAAACATCAAAACTACACAATTCAAGAGAGCAGGCCTTATTTCAAAGCTAAGTTCGATATCATCTTCATTATAGTAAAATGTTGTGCCAAGCATAATTTATTAACAATGTAATAACACAAAAAACAGGGAATTTTAATCAAAATGAGCAAATATGAAAGACTCAAATAGCCCACTAAAGTAAACTAGGCAACAGGATGCATGAGAAACTATATAAGAAAACAGAGTATAAAGATAATACTGAAAGAGAAACTGAATAAGAAACAAAAATAAGGGGGATAAGGAATCCAAGAAAAAAAGGTGTATGATAAAAAAATTGCAATAAAAACCAAAAAAGAGAACAGAAAATTGAACAAAACCCTTCTACGAATTACGCAATTAAAGCAACTCTTCAGCATACATATAACCAGAAATTCATTATTATATCCCCCATGAATATATATCACCCCAGGTTAACCACAAACTTCAGACTTCTCATCAAATTATAATGGGAAAAGTTGCAAATAAATAAATAAAACAAGCAATTAAGAGCCTAAATCCAACATGGAAAAATATTAGTTTAATCACAAATTGAGAGCTTTCATCCAATTTTTTCAATTTTTATTTAAAGAAAAATAAAACAGAAAGAAAGTAAATGTCCAAACTCCAAACCCACTACAAAAATATTAGTTCCATTAAAATTTTCAGAGTTCTCATCCAATTTTAGAGGCCAAAACCCAACTAAATTTAACCACAAACTCAAGAATTTACATCCAATTTCAATGGGCTTTTAGTACAAAAAAAGAGAAGGCAATCAGAGGTCATAGCCCAATAGAGATCCAGCTCAGTAAGAATTCATAGTACCATTGCATAGAGATTGGAGAAGCCATGGACAAGAGTGGGTGACTTTGTAAATCTTTGTTGAAAGGCGTCGCTGAGGTTATGAGCAGGGTCAGTGGAGATGATGAGAACAGAGGATCGAACCCTAGAGAGAAGAATAGAGAGAACTGAACTGCATGTCGTTTTCCCAACTCCCCCTTTGCCCCCAACAAAAACCCACTTCAGCTCCTCCTGCTCCAGGATGTTTCTCACACTACTTTCCATCTCTCTCTCTCTC